ACTCCTTAGAAAAATCCAAAAGCAAAAGAAAAACCATGAGCTAATCTCCTTTGAAGAAGAGATCAAGCACAACAAAAGGCAAGAAGAAGATTCAAAACCCTCCAATTATAAAGGTTCCTTAGAAAGAATCGAATGCTCCTGCTGCAACATCCAAACATTCTAATGGTGATTCAAATGACAAGGGTAAGAGGAAAGCAAGTAACCATTCACGTTCGGAGCCGCTTCTTAAAGAGCTGGTTGCAGAAAGTAAGAAGAAATCTAAGAGTGTAGAACCAGAGGTTCTTGCTCGTGAAGTCAATCCAATGCCTGCTCCTCCTGAGATGATTACAAGGAGCACAACGTCGAAAGTTCTTATCACTTGTCTAGGCTTGCATTGTAAGACTAGGGTTAAAAAAATGAAGAGGGTTGATGATATTAAAACGATTGAACTAGACACCCCTTCCCCGTCTCCTTCAGCACTTTCTTCCCCAGCTCTCATGATCGAGCCACAGGGAGAAGAACCTTTTATCTTCGACGAGCCTATGGAGCCAACATCTTCTTCTGATCATGATAAATGGAAGATTGAGGCCTTGAAAGGTATCCCTGCCTCACCTAGACGTGATGAGGGCTCTTCCTCAAGGCATTCTACCACAGAGGATCTCGTGAGGGCTTCGAGACAGGATCCTCATGTGAAGAATTTGTTAAGAGAGATTAAAGGGAAGGCTCTCATGATTGAGGATGATCCTATACCTGCAGTTGTTCTGCACGACGTAGGATCATCCTCCCTTCAACCATATAGTGAAAGCTTCTCTCAACATGAGGTGGACGCTAGTACTGCAACAGCCTTAATACTTTTATTCCCAGGTGGTTTCCTCAACTTGTAGTAGCCTTCTACCACAGGTCCTTTATTTCTCATTCGAATTTCTCATGTAGGTGTCGCTGGTTCCCTATGTATTTATTATAATTACTCCTCTTCAAGACTTCTTACACGATCATGTTTATGAGCTTATTTTCAAATCGTTGTAGGAGCTCCTTCTACTCAAGCTTTGAATGACGCTCCTTAGCCTATGCTTGCAATTCTTGATGTTGAGGCATAGTCAGATGTCAATATCGGCATCCTTCCTATTGCTCATTTGCTGGTTGCAACTAACATTCATGAGCTAGATCAAACCGATGCTGCGATGCTTCCAAATGAAACTGAAATTCTCCCACCTCCTCCATTCGTTGAAGATGCTACTCTCGGGCTAAAAGAAGCTGAGGCCTTTGAGATGCAGGTGGCCCTGAAAGGGCTTTGATCATTGTTCCTGCCGTCTCAAGAGACCTGGTGGAGTCTATGATGAAATCCTACTCAAACTTGGGAGAATGATAAAAGAAGCTAGAGCAAGAAATAGTGAGGTCCATACTAAGGTATTTCTGTTAGTTCTCAAGGCCACTTCATCCTCTATGTCCCAGCTAATGTCAATAGTAGGTTTATTGGGAGCTGATGAGGGGAATATTAGAATATGCATAGAGACATTTAGGAAATAGTTTGGTTTCACAAGATCTAGGTTTTATGTTTATAATTATCGTAACATAGTAACATGATATAATATTGGGAGAGAGCGTTGCACGGAGATGAAACAAGGGAGAAAGAGAGCATGGATATGAAAATATAAAAAGAGATTAGGATATAGATAGAAACATTCTAAGAGATAATTAAATTCTCCATGATTTAATTGATTTATTTTAGAGAGGGAGATGGTCACATAGAGCGAGAGAGAGCACAAGGGATGGAGAGAGATAAGTAGTCTATTTAGTTTCTCTAGGTATTTTATTTTATTTTCAATATACAGCTCTTTCCCCAATTGTAAATTGATTAGAGGGCTTTGAAAGGTATTCACCCTTCCTTCACATGTTCTTGAAACATTTTTGCTCATTTGTTAGTAGGTGTTATAATATTGTTGTTGGTGTTATTATTATTATTATTATTTTGTTATAATGTTGATGAACAAAATAAAGGTCCCTAGTTTTCTTGTTTTCCTTTTTCAATTTGGTCTGAGGGCTGAAAGGGATTCACTCTTCCTTTATGTGTTCTTGTAATATTTTCTTTCATATATTAATAGGTGCTTGATGATAAATGTAATGTTATTATCATTACTTTATCTTGTGATATAGTGTAGAATGAGTGAGAGAAAGTGGGCCAACTTTCAATTTTCTCTTTCCATGTTTTTCACTGTATTTCCCTCTTATATTGAATATTGTTTTGATACATAGTAGGTTTTTGATAATTATGTAGTTATTTACTTCTATTTTAAACTAAGATTCATATTATTTTATATACTTCTATTGTGTATTAATTGATCACTTTGATATGGTAATTACTTGGATTCTTTTTGTAGATAGATTATTAAAAAAATATAAATTTTCCTCCTTTTAATTTATAATGTGATTACAATAGCATTTGACATAAGCATTAGAGAATTGAATATCTTACGAGCTTTTTTTATAATCTTTGTTTATACTGTTTGAATTCCTTATCTTTCATATAAGGGTGTGGTTGGTATAAAGTTGCAACCTTAAACAATCAAATTAAGGCGCACCTCCAAATTTTATTACAAATGTAATTTTGGTGTTAAAATTTTTTAGGATGGCTGGAGAGTCTATTTCCATCTCTAATAATAAAAATTTAAACTTCAAAAATAGTTCAAAACAAGTAGATCTATAAACACATTAAAATTTTGAAAATGGATAGTCCATATAACACGTCGTACGATTCACTATTTTTAGGAGATTTTTTTTTTTTTTTAATATTCATACATCTTGATGTCGAGATGATCAATTAGATGGTTTTCCAATATCAAAATAACATTTTATGATGGATTTTTGCATTTTAAGGTTGCAACCTTATATAAATTTTTTCCTTCATATAAATCTATTTTTAACTTTTTAATTTTATTTATCTGTGGCATGAATTTCTGTTAATTCATTTCTTATTGAAAGAAATAAGTAAAAAAAAATTGTTTTGTGGACAACTTGGTTTTTGATAAATTATGTAGAATATTTCCTATTCATTAATAATTATTTAGAATAAAAAACCCCTTTATTTTCCTTGAGTTAATGTCGTTATTTTCTTTTTACTTATAAATTCTGAATCATCTATGCACCTTCATTCTTCTTAAGATTATATTCTCCATGTTTTCTTTTTATATTTAAAAATTGTAAATATTTCATACAAGCTTATTGGACACTTTCTTTTCATGTTCTTAATTTCAGGCTTATAAATTTTATGCTCTCAAAATTATGACGAGTTTATTTGAAGTTTTTTTAAATTATTTAAATTACGTTTATGACTATGTCTCCTCTTTTTAATATTTCAAAATAGTTATAAAAATTAGTGTTGCGTATTATTGTCTGCAGCCGAGTGATCCGATCTCGCCAAGAGATCAAACCCTCTACGAGTTGTCAGTAGCGCCAACGCATTAACATCATCAACGTTAAGAGAAAATTTAGAATAATAAAAGGAAGCAAAAAATAATGAAAACTATAAAAAATAATATAAGAGTAGAAAAAAAAAAAAAAAAAACAAAAAAAAAACCAACTTACCAACCACTAGGGCCTTGCGGCGCAGCACTTAAAGAATGAGCCTTGATCAGAGCTGATTGAATGAACACTTATTTTCTTTAAAAAATGATTGTTTTGGATATTAATGGCCCATTTGGGTACATGGATTTTGAGGCATGAATTTTTAACACCTTGGATATTACTAAATCTACTGTTTAACTTGCTCAATAGTAAGGATATTAAAATTCTATAGAAATTAAATATTAAAAATCAACTAACTTTTTTACGATTTCATTTCTACACCAAACACCATTTTTTTTAAATTTTTAAGGCTTGTGGATTCCACTTGTTGAACCCTTGCCCCAAAGCTTAACGTATGTTTGGTAGATATGAAAATATTTGCATGAAAATATTTTCATCTGAAAATTACATTATGCATGTTTGGTACATGACAAATATAAAAGGACCTAGTTTCTAGACGGCCAAGCTCATATATATAGAAATGCAGGCTTCTTAATAATATAATCTATTATCTTAAAACTTTAGAGAGAGAAACTATATCATATTTTAGACTGGGAAATTACTTGAAAATTTTTTAGATAGAGAAACTATCTCAAATTTTTTAGAGAAAAAAATTATCTCAAATTTTACAGAGAGAAAGTGTATCAAAATTTTAGAGAGAAAGCCTTATCAAATTTTAAAGAGAGAAACTATCTCAAAATTTTTAGAGGACTCTTCCAAATTATGAATTTTAGATAGACTCTCTAAAAACTATTTCAAAATTTAAATTTTATAGAGAGAAAGTGTATTAAAATTTTAGAGAGAAAAACTATCTCAAAATTTTTAAAGTGACACTTTTAAATTGTGAGTTTTAAGTAGAGAAAGTATATTAAAATTTTAAAGTAAAAAACTATATCAAAATTTTACCTCAAAATTGATGGTAAAGGATACGTAGAAAATAAAGAAAAGAGGTTATCTTGGTCCTTTTCCACACCAAATTTACAAAAATAGCTATGATTCATGCACCATTTATCTCTCCCCGAAAGTATAAAGGGTGCAGTTTGTATAGAGCCGAGGCTCTAAATGATCAAAGTAAGACACACCTTCAAATAGCGTTCACAAATATGGTTGAATATTGGAAATTTTTATGATAGTATAATATATATATTTATTTTTAATTATAAAATTTAAAACTTCAAAAATAAAGTAGACCAAACAAATCTATAAAAACTTCAAAACCTTGAAAATTGATGGTCCAACAATGCGTTATAAGATGTTATATTTCTAAAACTTGAAATTTTTTTTGTTTCTCCTGGCTCCATCTTGATGTTGAGATGATCAATTTGAGAATATTTGGGCATCAAAACAACCTCTTTTCAAATTTTTGAGATAGACTCTAATTTGATTGTTTAGAGCCTCGGCTCTATATAAACTTTCCCCAAATATAAAAAGCTCAAAAAGGCCGTTTATTCATAGATTTATTTTAGCCAACAGTACAGGCGGTGGATCCCTTTAGAGTGAGGGCGAAATCCATCTGTCATGGTTTCTTCAACCTTACCCCCCTACTGATACTCTCTCTCTTCGACTTTCTCTCTCTATCTACCCATTTCTATCTCTCTTGAAGAAACCCTTGATCTGTTCTCTATCTTCTCGAACCAGGGTTTCAGATGTCTCAGAACGGGAAGCTTATGCCCAATCTGGACCAGCAGAGCACTAAGGTCCTTAACCTTACGGTGCTGCAAAGGATTGATCCGTTTGTTGAAGAAATCCTTATCACTGCGGCTCATGTCACCTTCTATGAGTTCAACATCGAGCTCAACCAATGGGTTTGTTTCAAAGAACTTTCCGTTTTCTTATCTTATTATCATTTCTCTCTTTTTAGCTCTCTTTTGATTTGTTTTTATTGAGGTTTTGGTTGATTTGTTCGTGCTTGATCTTGTTTTGGTTGTTGGTTTCTTTGGTCTTTACAGAGCCGTAAAGATGTTGAGGGGTCTCTCTTCGTGGTTAAGAGGTATGTGTAATCAACGGTTTTGTCCTTTTTTTTTATGTGTTATTTTCGGGTTTCTCTCTCTGGATGATTTGCTTTTTCTATTTCCAAATTTCTTTTTGTACATTACATTTGATTTTGCTAGAATAAATGGGGTATCCTCTTCTATTCGTATATTTTAATTATTTGGTTTCATTCATTAAGCATCTGTATATGTTTTGTGCTTAGTATCTAGTTTTTTCTTTATACTGTTAGCGATGTCTTTTTCAAACATTTCCCCCGTACGCATGATTTTCCTAAGTTTTTGCATTAGAAAAGTGTAAATAAGTTATTTTACTGGGAATGTGAGGATTTATTCATATATTCTGTTTGAAATGTAATCCTCGGTGTGAATTTTATTTTCTGTGGTTTATTGGTCAAGAAAATTTCTTTTTTTCATGTTCTTTAATCTGAGAATCCCCTTCAAGCCAAAAATTATTTTAAGAAGATCGACCTAGTGCTATGATTTGGTGAGGCAATTGGTTATATGAAATAAACATGTCATTTCGAGATTGTACACATTGTTTGCAACTGGTTATATTCTATGTTTTCTATAGGAAATATAATACTGTATGCTTGTTTTGGGAGTTTTTGTTTTGTTTCCCTATAAGATGATCATTGATGGTACAAATGTTTGTGGAAATGTTGCAGGAACAAACAACCTCGCTTCCAATTTATTGTTATGAACCGTCGCAACACTGGTACAGATGTTTTGTTTTCAAAACTTTATTATCCATCTGTAAAGATATTTATGATGGGCTTCTCAAGAAATTATTTTTCATGTCACACCATGTTTGATTGATTAATTATGCTTTTTATCATGCTCAATGCACTTATATGGAAGTCCATCTCTGGGATGTAATTTGTCAAGTTTTCTGTCCTTGACCATTTCAGGAATCATGTCACTTGATTATCATATATTGAATTGGAACTTTCAATGCTTATATGTCATTGGCACGTTAACAATGATAAAAAAACTCGGCTCGGGCTCAGGACTTGTTCCCTACCCGAGCTGAGTAACTCGGGCTAGTATGAGTGGACTCGCCGGAATTATGCACAAGCCCAAAAAAGGCTAAAATTTTGAAAAAAATTACAATTTTTCAAATAAAAAATAGTAAGAACATAACAAACAATAAACAACATTCAAATATTAAAAAGGATGGAAAAAATATACAAAAGATGGAATTTGGAAAAAAATTGATTTATAGACGTAAATAATTCTGTAAAATCTAGAAAAAGGGCAAAATAGAAAAATAGAGCATATGATAAGAAAAAACTTACAAATCAGCATAAAAAACATCAAGTTATATGTAAGAATTTCTTTTTTGAGATTTGTTTTTTTGAGAAATTATATGTAAGGATGTTTATACATTGATATGGTAAAAATATGTAACTTTTGTAATTATTTTTTTATATTCTTGAGTTTGTACCCAAGACTTAGCTTGGCAAGATACTGAGTCTGAGTAACTTGACGGAGTCCATGTTGACTCAACCAAGTTTTAAAAGCTTGCGTGATACATATGGAGGAAGTATGCCTAAGCGTGATAAAAAATCAGTCTTATACTTGAGCTTTTTCACGTTCAGCTGAAATATGTGCTCAATGAGCATGGCATGATATAATTCCTATCATTGATTGCCCAAATTAAAGATTGTATGCATTGTTTATTTGTAATATTTCAGAAATGAGATAAGCACTGTTCATAACAGTGAAGAGTTTAAGAAACTTAGGATGATATTTTGAGAATCAATGAATTGTGTTTGTTGGCCATTACACTAGTGAATACATTGAGATTGTGATGTACAAAGATGGAAAGAATATGAATAAAATAATTTGAAAAATATGAAAGAGGAAAGTGCAAAATTTTTAAAAGAGAGAGAACAAAAATAGAGAAAAGGAGAAAGCACAGAAAGAATTTCAAATGAAGGAATAGGAAGGATGTGAATTGACACTGTGGAATAAAAGAATGTCAATAGAAAAAGAACCTGACGAAGGTGTAGAATGTGCTCATTGATGAGCTCCCAAAATGACATCTGCAATGGTTTAGAGAATGGAACCATGGGCGGAGTAAACCCCCCTACCCCCCCAAACCCCCCCAAGAAAAAAAAAAGTGGTGCTTAGGCAGTTTGCTGTACCTTTGGGATGGTTCATGTGGCTTGGGCTGAAGCAATGCACCCTTGAAAGATTGTGGATGTTGGTCAATGAGTTTAATGGCCAGTTGATTTATTGAAGGTGACTCTCACAATAATATGGTTAAAAGAAAGTTCCCTGACTCCAAAAGGGTTCGAAAGAGGCTTTGAATAAATTAAGGATCTGTAATGCAATTTTGCATTTTGACTTTGGGCATGTATGAAGGAAGTTAAATTTGGTGGGGAATGGATTGAGGAGTACTTGATTAACATGGATTTAGGTATTTCTCTGCCACTGAAAGCGAGTTTCTGTAATGTCTGTACACATATTTCTCTTATGTATTGATTATTACTTGTTCTTTTTGTGCATATTAGCAGTGGATATGTGACGGTTATTTATGATTCCATACCATTTTGAAGTTTAAATGAATGCTTATGTGGTGCAATACAATTCGTCATTGCCAATTTTAGATTCTTTGTTACGTGTAGAACTTTATATTGGAATTAGTACTTTCAGAATCTTATGTTGGCATATGAGGTGCCCTTTTAGTTTCTATATTCTCTCTCTTCTTTATTGAGGTGTTCTACATAGGCACTATAAATTTTACTGTATTCTCTTATCTATTTTTCTATTATTATAAAATTTGCATATCTGCTCATGCGTTGCTTTTACTTGCTTGGTTGTTCAAGCAGATAATTTGGTAGAGAATCTCCTGGGTGACTTTGAGTATGAAGTACAAGTGCCTTACTTGTTATACAGGAATGCAGCCCAAGAAGTCAATGGTATTTGGTTTTACAATCCCCGTGAATGTGAAGAGGTTGCAAATCTTTTTAGCAGGTAAAGATGTTATATAGACTTTATTGTGTTGACTGTATCATTACATTAATAACTTGGAGCATCTTAGTTGTTATTTGGCGTCATAGGGATAGAAGAATATACTTCAATTGAGTAAATTGTGCATTATCCACACTTGGAACTATTTATTAGAAGCACCTAGTAGTATCATGAATTGTTTAGGAAACATGAAGAATTGGACGTTAATAGCTAAAGGCTGGGTCCTATATTTAGCAAGGAAAGAGCCTTGACAATACTGATCTGCAGGCATGTTAGAGTGGTTTTACTTTTCCTGTGGTGCCGTAACGTCATCGTTTTAGATGGAGGAATTTATAGTTTGTTTGAAGTTGACTCTGAAAGTGATAAATGGATTCAAATACCATAAGGATAGCAAGTAAATTTGCTATTATATGCTGTCCTGATGCTGTTAAATTTATAAGCCGTCTTTATGCTATTATATGCCAAGGAAGGTATATAAATCTATGAAAAAAAGAACTGCATATAAATTTCATGGACCAGTATTACCCTTGTTGTAAGGAAAGTATTGTGTACTTTGTTTAATATTGTATTTCTGTTATATAAACCCTTATGCATCCGACATATTTGCATTTTCATGATATAATTTTTATATGGAAGGTGATTATGAATTGATACTGCAGAAATTTGCGAAGTCTCAATGTTACTTGATTTTATCATAATTTCAAGTTGCACTGGATATTTGAACTATGAAAATGCATATTTGATTATATAATGGATAATGTCTTTTGTCGAAGGCTAATTCTATTGGTTTTGGATGAGGTCATCTTTCCTATGCAAATTAATTTTTTTTCCATGATAGATTTCTCACTCCATGTTTGTCGTTTAATGTTTTTAGGATACTCAATGCTTTCTCCAAGGTGCCCCCAAAACCTAAGGTTTCAACATCTAAAAGGTAAAAATTGTGTTCCCTATATTACCGCGAGGGCATCAATCATGTATCTGGTTCGTCCCTACCTGTTTTTACTTCTGGCATATGTAGTTTCCATCATGGAACTTGTTGATCATTATTATTTGTTTTCTTGACTTCTTAAGAACTTTTGTGTCTTAGCTGGAATGCTTGTCAATTTTGCATTGTTAATGAACTTGATGTGGTTTTGATTCTTTTCTTGTGAAGCACTGATGAATATTTGTTTTTTGTGGGACATGATGTATTTGGTATAGCATATATGGCACATATATCTATGGTATATTATTCATGTGCCCTTTTTTTTTTGTTTGGTGAGACAAAATTATTTTGCATTTTTAGTTTAATAATTTTTTTTGAGAAAGTTAACTTTGTATTACTGAGAAGTGATAGATTACAGAGATAAGATGATCCGAGAGCACCCTCATGGCGTGTCTCTTAGTAAAAAAATGCGTCAACCAGCCATTTACAAAAAAATGGGCTTATAGGACCCGACCGATTACAAAGATTTACAAGAATTTTTCAAAAAATAAACCAGGGCTGATAGATTTGCCCGAACACAAAAAAGTCTTCTTGTGTGCCTGTTGTCCAGAACAAAAAAGGATTAGGACCGGGCGTGTTCTTCTACTTGGATTCTAGCTCCCTCTTTCCCCACGAGATCTGAGAGCTCGTTGGATAGGACCGGGAGTGTTCTGCTACTTGGATTCTAGCTCCCTCTTTCACCATGAGATCTGCGAGCTCGTTGGACGTCCTCTAGATATGCTTCCAAGAGACGTGTGTATCCCTGCAAATGTGAGAAATTTCATCAAAAATTGAGGTTAGGTGTCATGGTGGTGGTGTCGTCCCTGTTGCCCAAGAGAGAATATTTTTAGTTTAATAATTACTGTTGGAAAAGGAGAAAGGTAGTGAATAGAAGAATTTGGAAGGGGTTTCTGAAAGTTAAAAACTATAAAAATCATGTCCCTTGTGTTACACTGTTCCATTATTAAGCAGTTAGGTATTTTCTTTTTGCATTACTAGTTTTGAAATAAGAGATGACAGAGTTGTCTCATTTACAGTTCACTGGTGTCTAGTGTTAAGTGCATCAGAGCGAGGCATTCTGAGGTTTAGAGTCTATTTCTTATTTGAGGTGTGTTTGTTGAAATGCATCTCACTTGCTTTAGTTAGTCGTGTTTATGAATTAACGTACTATCTATACATGTGCTTTAAACAATGCCTTCTGTTAAGACAAGTACAATGTTATTGCTTCAGGAATTTCTTCAATGACAACTACATTTTTATTAGCAATTAAAGGTTGTGATTAAATAAAAGTTCGTTGATGGGATCTTATTTTTATTATTTAATAACTAATTTTTATTAAGGTTCTTAGTTGTCAACTTGTGAGGGTTACAGCAGTATGGTCCTGGTCAGCTTCCTCATGCAAAAGAGAAAATTGAGGCTAGATAGTTGTAGGAAAGGTAAAAATGATCTAGGGTTGAGGTGAGCTAGTTGCTCTTAGCCTTCGTTTGGTGAATGATTAGAATTGGTAAACAAGAACAAAGCAATCTTTATGGATTAGGAACTCTTTCTTTTTCCGTTGGTGATTATGTCCGATTCAACCTTCAAGGTGTGTGATTGTCACTATAAGTGTTTTGAGACTCAGCTGAGTACCTTATGAGGTGAGTTCCAGGGGCCAGCTTGCCCTTGTTTAAAACATAGTTGTTGGGATGGGAAGAGGGGGATCAAGAAATGCTAGATATCCCTATGGCTAGGAGCATTGTCCACACAATGCACATGTCAGGGGTCTATATCCCCGAATGTCAAGGAATCATGATGCAGGAAAGGAAAGTGAGAATTGAAATCCACCCCTTTCCTTAACCTTAAACAAGTAAAATCTCCAATAATGGAGAAAGATCATGACTATAAATCAAGCTAAGAGAAGCTTCCCTCTTTTATAAAATAAAATTTATTCCAATAACATCGTCCTCCTAAAATGTGACATCCGACCTTTTATTAGCTTATGAAACCGTAAAATTGACTTGAGATCCAAGTAAACATTTAAGACTCTGAAATACGCCAAAACAATACTAAAATTTCAGGAATACCCTTGTGAACAGTAATCCGCAATGGTAACGTGTGAATAATAACATGAACAATAAATAAAAATATAAAAAAAACAATTAGAAACTCTAAAAAAACTTAAAAACCCTAAAGATAAACCTTAAAAAATATACATCCTTTGAAATTGAATAAAATAAAAAATAAGAATAATTTTTCCTCCATCAGATCGAGAACCCAACCTCTTGAGGATCTTGATCCCGACCTTTTAGGATATTGATGCCGATTTCTTGGGGTTCTTGCTCCCATCCTTGAAGGAGTGTATGGTGTATACTCTTTTGGGGATCTTTATATTTATAGGGAGCAGGCAATGAAACTATTATTAAAAGTATAGTTGTGTTGCTAGTTGGCTATAAATAAAGAAAATCTATAGTCTAGTTGTTATCTTGGTCCCTAAGGTGGGAGTTGAGATCCTTAATAGTCAGAATCAAGATCTCTAATAGTGGAGATCAAGATTCCAAAATTTAAAAATTGAGATCTCTTGAAGATCCCTATCCTAGGGTGTACTTGTGCGAGATTCTGAAGCGGGATCGCCACCAAGGTTGGCAGATTCTGACAACTATGGTTTGAAATTGTTAAGAAGTCCAAAATTTAATTAAAAATTTTGAAGATATGATTTATAAGTACTTTTTTTTTATTGAAAATGATTTATAAATACATTTTGATATGATTTATGTGGTTTTCATAGTGATTTGGGAACTTTTCTTATTACATACTCGAATTTGTTGTTTTCCTTTTTTTTAATTTTTTGAATATTTCAACATATAAATTAAAATTTTCAATAATCCATCTTTTATATACCTTTTGAACTTCTAATCGTTTGTATTACTTATTTTACTTTTTGCTGATTTTTTATTTTTTTTAACATATGTTCTCATTTTCTTTTTTGAGTTTTTGGGGTTCTTTCGTCTTGTACAGGACTCAGTATTGACTGAGTCCACTCAGACTTGGCCGAGTTACTTAGCTCGGGCCAGGGCCGAGACTTAGGCCTGAATTGAGAACTTTGTTCACTATAAGTGGCATATATAATAGTTGTTGGAAATGATTCTAAATCCAAATCGTTTTAGGAATCAGAATCATGGGTGGCTAGAAGATTCTTGTTTTTGGAATTGACTTCCATACAAGAGGAATCATTAGAAACGAGATTCTTATTTTATAGGAATCTAGATGAGACCAAAATGGAATTGAGATCCCTACTAATGCAACCTAGACTATTGCTCTTGAGTATCTAGATAAGAGGGCCAAGCTTAAACTTTATAAGAGGAACCGTAGGAGGGCAAAATAGTCAATGAATTTATACTTGTATGTCTTTTCTTTTATTTATTTTTTGAGTCATTTTATTTATTTAGGGGCAGAAGTAGTAATTTCTAGAGTCCTTTTGTCTTTTTATTCACGTAAAGTCTTTTATAATGAATGACCATGACTATATTAGTTGAATGGCTAGGATTAATAGTTGTCTAAAGTTCTTATATGAGGGATATCCTCAAACATATGGAAGCATCTTGTTATGGACTTTATTCACAACCCTAGATCAACCTGTGCTCCTCTTTTTATCTTTTGGTTTTTGCATCTCTCTCTCTAAGTTTGGATCTTCCTTATCTTGTTCTTTCCTAAACCCTGGCTCCAAGCTACTTAGTCTATGCCACCTATGTAGATGGAATCTAGATTCCTAGCTTTATGGAATTAAGTTTACGACCTATTTGGAATCGATCAATATGGAATCCAGATTCCTTCATTTATAGAATTAAGATTCTAACATCTTTGGAATTGAGATTCCTAGGCATTTCGAATTGAGATTCATACTAGTTTGGAATCGAGATTCAACCCATATTGGAATTGAAATTTTATAGCAACTTGGATTCATGTTTTGATTCATTTGGAAATTGAGATTTGTAACCCCCTTTATAATTAAGCATCAAACGGACACATGGATAGATAATGACAGATGTAAAAGTTAGTAGGAGATTACTTATTGGATTAATACAATGCATACTTAAAGAATTAAGTGGAGAACTTGGACCACCACTTTGGTTTCTATTAGTTAGTTCATACTGAAAAAGAGGACTGCACCTTTTAGTTTGACATTGGAATGAAACTTGTTAAGAACTTAACTCTAGACTTTTGCATTTGGATGCTGATTTATGGAACCAAAACTTCGGCAATGCGTTCATCAGTTTGTTGTTCGGAGCACACACGAACTATGGAACATAATTGTGTCCAGTTTTGGTTTCCAAATAACTCAAATCAAAATCCATAAATATTTCAACCAGTCTATAGGTCACATATTTATGGACTTAGAATATTAGTATTTGATTTTGTTGTATTACGATTATTAAAAAAAAAAAAGATCGAACTTCTATGAGAGTGGAAACGAGATTCGATGTTTGATTAGTTCGTTCTTTCTTGCATCTATGAAACGCTGTTGTTCAGGAATCTAGTTTCGAAAGCTATTGAATCGAGTACTATTACATGTGGAAACCAGTTTCAATAAGTGTAGAATCGAGATTCACCAATTGCGGAATCGAAAATCAGTAAAGATTGGAAACAAGATTCTACAAGTGTTCGATCGAGATTTCTAAAATAAGGAATTGAGATTCCAGACTTCACGGAAACATGTCCCGTGAATATTCCTTTTCAGAATTGTTGAGTGGAGGTTCTGAATCGGAATCGCGACCTTAGGTGAGAGATTCGGGTAACTATGTTGCATGTATATAT